TCAAATAAAAAGCAGAGAAGCTACCATATTGTGTGTCAGAGTTCAACCTCAGTGCAAGCCTCCTCATCAACATTTTCATGTCTTATATCTAATTTTACAATTAGAAAGTTCATCTTTGCTGTTGCTACTTACCTTTGTAGAAACTGGAATGATTTCTTCTTTGAATTTACCAGATGCTGTTGCAGCTGCAGCACGCTTGTGAGACTCAACCTATTTATTCAAATCAAAAGAGTTCCATTCAGTTTGATAATCTCTTAAACGGTTCTTTGAATATTTAATTGTCATACTCACAGCAGCCTGGTCCTGCTCCTGCCTTGTGACGCCAAAACGCAGTGCAACATTCTCAGAAGTAATTCCCATAGGAAGAAGACAATCCCGAGCTTGTTCAAAAGTTTCCAACTGTTAAGGACATGAAAAGTAAAGGTGAACAAACCATGTTTATAGCTGTAAAAACAAAATATGGACTTCAAAATATTAAATCTTAAATGCACCTTTGGGTTAATTTTACTAGGCCTAGTAACATTATCTCGAGACATACACTCTAATCCAGCTCCAATTCCTGAATCAATGAATAAGAAGGTGGAGTCAACACCAAGATCTTTTAAACAAACAGACATTCTCATTCTTACCTATGTCATAAAAACCAGCTTTTATGTAAGCAGCAACATCAGCAACTGCCTGAAGTCCAGATGAACATTGCCTATTGACAGTCCTGAGTGGCGTTGTATCTGTTTTAATCATATAAGTGATAAACCATATATTGATGTTGGGGATAAAATAGCATAGCAATTTTAAGCATCAAGTATCAGTAAATAAACCTGCAAATTCAATTTCTAGTAAAACCGGGCAGGAAGTTCACATAAATCGCGTTTTCAATCAGCTTTTACAGCTGGGTTCTTATTTGAAAATGATGCATTTGAGGATAGTCATTTCAACTTGATTAACAAAGTTACCAGGGAAACCAGCATAGAAGGCAGCCATCCTGCACTCAATTGCTCGTTCTGATCCTGGTGCAATTACTGTGCCAACAACTATGTCTCCTACTTCACTTGGGGGCACATTTGTTTTCTCTATCACAGCCTACATGAGAACTCATGATTGAGGTAAATTGTACTAGTCACAATGATTACAAATGTTCCCATAAACCCAATTCTTTGCCAACAATTTTATTTCCAATGTTTTCCTTTATCAAGTAACTTTTACCTTCAAAACAGAGGCAAGGAGATCATCTGGAAGGGTATCCTTGAAGGCCCCACGCTTTGCTTTACAGATTGCAGTTCGGTATGCACTGGTTTTTGCAGGAAATGATAAAAGACAATAAGCTAAATACTGTGATTAACAAAATAACAAATCAAGAAATACTCAGTAAGTTGGCATCCACAGTCCCGAATTAATCAACTTACGCCACAATCACCACGTCATCTTCAGATGCAGATGTTCGCCCATGAGAAAAATTCTCACCAGAACAGATTGATGCCTAAAAAAAGAAAAAAAAATTAGCCATCCCTTTAAAAAGAAAGAGCAAAAGCAAAGTTGCGGCCGATGAAAAAGCCAAGCATTTGCAAATGCTTGAATTGACTAACTCTACAAGATAGAAACATTCCAAAGATTCAAGACAAAGAAACTACCAATATAATTATCAGAAATTTTATCTCCGACCTGTTAGTATATACAAGATAAGCATTTAAAGATCATTAAATTTAGTATGGGAAAGAAATAGGAGTAGAAGTTTGAGAACCATCAAGTACCAACACAAGCCAAAAAAAAAGAAAACTCATTCCAGCATGTAGCAACTACAAAAGTGAAAAATAAAGAGCGAAAAAGGCAGACGGACCATAAGGAATAGAAGTCTTTCAATAAATTAAAAAACGAGAAAGGAGTAGAATCTGAGGAATTCATGCACAGTGGAAGAGTGAAGAGACGGATACTTGAAGAAGATGAACTTACAGAGAGATGAGTAGATTGATGGGAAAAAGATGAAATTGAGGAAGCGGGTCGAAGATGTTCAAGCAGCATTTTCTGTCTATGAATCGCTTTCTCCATCTTGCAACACCTTCCAGTGCCTCTCTGCCCCTCGCTCTTCCTTCGTCAGTTGTTAGTTGCTGAGCCTTCGCCGACGCCGGTGGACGCTATAACTACGAGAGAAGGAGCATATAAACAGAGAAATTGAATAGCCAACTGACGGGATCAAAAATGATCTTAAAATAAAAATTTCTTTCATAAGTTAAGGATAAAAATTTTTAGAAAATGACCTCTCACAAAAATAAAAAGGAATCAAATTTTATAATTTTACCTAAAAAAATAATAAAACATTTAACAGTTTTTCGTGCAATAAAATATGGGGGTAGCAATGACTCCAAGCCACTAGTTTTTTTTTTTTTTATAAAGACTCCAACAACTAATTAATGATGGGATTGTTGAATTAAAAAAAGTTGACGTTGACGTTGACGTTGACGTTGACGTATTGGTGGAAAAAGCCCCCACGTTTTCCACAGAGCCCATTCAAGCGGACCGTTTGATTAACAACCAAATCAAGGCTCGATTGGTTTCTTGTTTGTTAAAAGTCAGTTTTTCAAAAATTTATTTGATAAAAATTAATTTAATAAAAATTAATTATTATAATAAAATTTATATTTAAATATATTTTTTAAAATTTAATTTAATAAACTAAAAATTATTTAAATAATATATAATGAGAAGTACATTTATATGTATAATTATAAAAAAGGATATTGATTTTATGATATATAATTTTTATTACACACATGAAGCATATTTGAAATGTTTGAAAAATAAATATAATTAAAATTTAAATAATATAAAATTTGATATGTCAAATAATGAATGATAAAAAAATAACGCTTTTTCATTAACCTTGCTCATTATTCCCAACCTCATAAATTACTTTCCTTTATTTGTTTGTTTGACTAATTAAAATTTTTCTTACATTAATAAAATTTTATTTTAATGATGATGATCGCTTCCTGTATGATTTACCCACTCTCCCTGCAATTTGTGCTTTATGAAAAATTACAAGCTTAACAATCTATGAAAAATATAATGTTTGGCAAATAATTATAAGGATAATAGTAAAATAAAAATTAATCACTGTTTCATTAATGCCCAAACTCCAACTTAAAATGCAAATTTAAGTAAAAGTATCTTTGGGGAAATAGACTTTTAGTGACTTTTTCATTGGACATTTTGAAAGAACTTTAAAAACTTTTTTATAAACCAAACAACTTTTACTTTTAAAATTTTTTAAAAGTACTTTATAAATGTAAAAATTTTTTTATCGAAACACACATGAAGACCGTGGTTGACCAAAAAAAAATTCTATTACTAACAAAATTAGTCACTTGTTCATTAATACCCAAACTCCAACTTAAAATGCAAATTTAAGTAAAAGTATCTTTGGGGAAATAGACTTTTAGTGACTTTTTCATTGGACATTTTGAAAGAACTTTGAAAACTTTTTTATAAACCAAACAACTTTTACTTTTAAAATTTTTTAAAAGTACTTTATAAATGTGAAAATTTTTTTATCGAAACACACATGAAGACCGTAGTTGACCAAAAAAAAATTCTATTACTAACAAAATCAATTAAATTTAAAAATTCAAATATCATGCCACAAGAAAATAAAGCACGTAATTTAATATATTTGTCAAACATCTCTGAAACATATAAATTTATTTTGTAGACATAGATTTGGAGAATGAATCATAAAATATATATATATATATTTGAAAATTTTAATTTGAAGTCGGTCACACGAGGGTAGGCGAGAAGCTTAATTAGTTACTCCTCTAGATTACAATATAAATTATAATTAATTAATTTATGGTTTATGAATAATGTCTATTGAAATCATAAATTCTTAAAAATGTCTACATCTTTTTATTTATATCTTCATTAAATACTCTAAATAAGAGCCTTGATTATAGTAATTAAAATTCTAATGTATAATTTTTTTAAAAAAAGAGTAATAAATAAAGTAAAGGTATAGTTAAAAAAATAAATATAAAAGTTATCTAATACTTATATTTGAGATCAAGTAAGGCTTTTAAAAAATATTTTATATTATGATATGGAGGTAGTACTATTTATTCTTTCTGTTTTTCCATTTTGATAATGATACGTCTTAGATAACTACCAAGAATAATTTAGCAAGATAGTCGTGGGAAGTGTGGACATTTGAAGGGAAATGCTTTTAGAAGGATCACGGAAGGCTTCGCCAATTGACCCTTCCACATCAAACAAATTCAGAATCTCCTCTTTGTCTCTCTTTTGCCTTTTATATAATTAATTAAAAATTAATACCAGTAGAAACTAGGACGGTTCCATATTTAAAAATAATATTATTTATAAAAATATGAAAACTGTATATGGTTCTTAGTATATGATATACAATCTACTAAAAATTATATTATTTGTAAGTTATGCAAATAGTTAAACTGACGAACCAGTCCATAACGTAGCTTAATATAAAATTTATATATATAGTACATGAGGCTGTGAGGGATTAGCGGCGATAAACACGTTAATGAGTTGTTTATAAGTAATAATTAGTAAAATCAATCGCTATATTTATTTTTGTCCACCAACATGTTTTATGTGTTTAGTAGGCAACCACCACCAAAAATTTGGTTTTATATCATGCCCCCGTCTCTTTCTTCCCATAGGCCAATTTTCATGCTTCTGTTCATACCCAACCATCCAAATTCAGATTCTGCAATTTTACTTACTAAAATATATTAAAAAAAAATCAACCAGCATTATCTACCCAACAATATCCAAATCTAAATCATATAGCCATATAAAAAGGAGAAAAAAACAACAAAAACTTATGTGATTCTGTCCATTCAACAGTGTTTTAAGAGAGTGCACAAGAAAAATGTGCTCCTGTGTGACAGAGAAGTTGTGTTTCAAGTTTCGGCATTCTCAATCCTTTTTTCTATTACTATTTTGTAGCAAATCGACCTAAAAGTGAATCACAGTTTAAATGCATAGAATAGCTGTATATTGCAACATATCCAATATTGATGAAGATGATCAACTCGATTCTGCATACATGCCTTCAAACTAAACATATGTCCGGGTACAATAGTACATTTTACACTTCATAATGTAAATTGAAAAATTCATCAATCCAGTATTGTTCAAGGAGCAAGCTGTTATTTACTATAGACCACCAATTTTTCTTTCCCTTCTCCTTTTTCACTGAAAGAAAATCTCAAACATAAATGACAAATAAAATGGATCATCTTCATAAGTTGCAGGTACCTTATCGCTTTGACTATTCGCTGTCATCAAAATCTGAAACTTCCTGCAGACAAGGGAGATTATAGTAACATCAATTCACTGTCTCATTTTATAACTGGACAAGTGACTGACGAAATTAAAGTCCAAACCGAAACAAAAATGCAAATAACAAAAATTATATGAATAGTTATGGCAAATCCATCATTTGACTTTGATCAAATTAAGATTTTTCAAGTTCACCCTTATTTCTAAAGCTTCAAATTAAAAATAGAGATGTTTCAGAGAAAACAACTATTAATATTGTTGAAGCTATGTTGACTCCTGGTTTTGTTAAAAGAAATTAACCACCATCGAAATATCAAACATAAGAATCCAAGTGCCATTAAAATAAGAAAGAGCCAGGAAGCACTCTATTTCATCCCAAGCGGACTACATTTCCTTCTATGTCTTGCCTACCTAATTCAATAGGAGAAATATCTATTGTTACATAAATGCTCTTACATAATCCACTTTCAAATTTATTATCTTTTTCTGGTTAGAACAAGGTAAAAAGCGGAGGCAGAGCCAGGATTTTTAAGTAAGGATGGTTGAGATCTCAAAGCATATACTATAACTGAAGAAAGAAAAATCTAACATAGCATAAATATTTCAACAACTATCTCTTCTCTCGTAGAAAATGAATCAATAATTTTTTTCCTTAAACATCTTTCAATCCTAAAAAAAATATAGATTGCAAATTATATTATATAAAATATTAAGATGAAAAAAAAATAACAAGATCATAACACAAATTGCACAATATATTATATATAAAAGGAATTGTAAATCATAACACAAACTGCACAATAAAATCATAAACATTGAAAAAGCAAAGTATATTGGAGATTGGGGTGGCTCACTTCAACTTTATCTTTGCATTCGCTTAATTGGAGGGCCTAAGAAAATGAGATTGTAGGGGTAGCCAAATCAAGTTCTTTGATTAAACAAAAAGGAGAAAAAATTTATAAAAACAAGGGACGCAGACAAAAACAACATGAAACAAGGCAAATTGCACATAACAGGCACATACACAATTGCCTTGAAGCAGTGAACAGTAGAGGATAAAAAATTAACAAAAAAAAGGAATAGGACGTAAACCAAAAAAAAAAAATTTGAAAGAAGACAAAAGGCATATGCATGCCTAAGCCTTGAAGCTGTGAACAGTGGTAGCAACTTTTCAAAGCTCTGAGGTAGTATATATTACATTTATATACTCTAAATTAAAATTGACAACTTTTCTATTTTTTAATAGTATATTTTATATTATATTTATATATAATACATACATTTTAGATGCTAACATTTTTCGACTTTGTATAACATATTAGTGTAATATTTTTATATTTATTAAAAGGAAAGTAAATATTATATTCAGTATTAAATATATTATACAAACAAAATATATTTTGATGGGATCAAATATATATAATTCCTACGTTTTACTAAAAAAAAATTAAAAAGATAGGGGGCCGTGGCCCCCCTGTCCCCCTGTCTCCCCCACTAATAAAAAGAATATTGTTGTATTGTATTTGTCCAATCGCTTCTCTACATGAACAGAAATAAACACGAGGAACATAAATATTAAAAAAGAGTGTCAGTCAAATTTTTGTATTGGCTTTAAATTATAGGGCACAACAATAATTTAGGTTTAACACACCTGTCCCGTGACCAGCTGTTTGATAGTAGCATTAACGTCTTCTGTCCAATGCGTTGTTCCATTTTCTATTTCTATTTCAATCGGAGGGGCTATAATGTCTCCTGATGAGAAATTCTGCATTTTCGGGCATCCTCTCACTTTTAGTAATTCAAATGATAGGAATACGAGTGTGGGTTTGCCAGAGCAGAAGCTTTTGAGAGAGGGTAAAGAAGTCATTTCAAAATATTCTAAGCTTTCAAATGTGATCTCTTCTGGTGTTCCTTCATCGATCATCACAGCTTCCTCCATCATCCCACAGTTTATTATCCGCCACTTTTTGAGGTGCACAAGACTTCTAGCGGTGGAAGCTGTCATTAAAAAGGTCATCCCTTTGCAGTCCTCCACTTTTAAGTGAGTTAAACTAGTGAAAGATATTGAAGGTGGTCCCAAGCTTGTTAAACTCGGACAACACGTCACACTGAGTACTTCAAGGACATCTGACAGAGAGTCGTAATCATTCCCTATCTGCTCAAGCTGCTCCAACTGAAAAAGCCACAACTTTTTTAACCGGTTGGGAGTTTTAGAACTACCATAACCAACTTCCTCGGAAGGAAAAAGTATTTTAAAAGTGCTACAACGCACTTCAAGTGTTGTAATGTTAGGGAATTTTTCAAGGAACCTATTTAGCCACATTATTGGAGTTTCTTGAAAGCATTGTAGGCGAAGCACCTCTACACCAGGAAAGAGACTTGCCTCATGATGACTATCCAGTATCTTCATAGAATCTTTTCCATTTAATGCAAAATCTTTTAAAGTCGGTGACACCTAATAAACAAAAACAAATATAACAGTTTATAAATTCTCAAATCATGCAATAATTTAATAGATTTGTGAGAGTCATAATATTTATATTTATCTTAGTTTAACTCAAAAATTCGTTTAAAGAATAACCAAGAAGGAAAAAATAAATAGAAAAAGGGCATGCATATACCACTTTAAAAGAAAAGAGTGGTTGTTGAATCGGCATGTCAATTTCGTCCACCGTAGATGTATGCTGGGAATCCAAATGGCTAAAGTCAAATATTTCCAATTCTTCACAACCACAGACATCTAATGTCTCCAATGAAGGACATGCTAACTTATGTCTTCTTGGATAAAAATTCTTCAATCGTGACAACCAACATAGCATGAAGGAAGTCAGCTTTGGAAAATCAAACTCAAGATCATCTAGTCCTTCTCCTTCAATTGCAACAATTTCCTCAATGCCACAATGAAGCATGGAAAGCTCTTGAAGTCGCTGCAGATCTTGGCATAATGTTACCGAAAACACGTGTTTCAGGTTCAGGCATCCTGCAATTGTCAATATCTGCAAATTTTTGAAACTGAGTATTTTTGGAAGGTCTCTATTCCATATATGTTTCAGATTTGGCAGTCCCAAGAGAGTAAGCTTTTTCAATTGACTTTCTTCCTTTACATGCATTTCTGTGTCGTCCATGACCTTCACATCAAACACTGTTTCTAAGGAATCACAATCGTTCACTTCTAGTTCCTCCAATGAATATAGCAATGTCAACAAATTCGATGCAATGAGCTTCAAATGATCCGAACTTTTGAAATCGACCTGTTTAAACAAATGCAGAGCATGAGTTATATTTTATACGTTCTCTGTGCTATATTATCTAGAATGTATCAGTTTGGTACAAGTCTTCGTTAGAAGCATATTTTACGAGAAACTATTTCTATTTTAATTAAAAACAACAATAAATTCGTAATAATTTGATATGCCTTTCAACGTTCAAGACTGACGGCGGATCTGCCTAAAATAATTATGAGCTTCAAAACAGGGAAGAAAATGAGGAGAGAAAAATATGAGGACAAATTTTCATTTTAAAACCTATATTTTACCTTTTTTAGAAGTTTTGGCTCTTGTTTCCCTCCTCTCTATTTTTATGCCCATCTAAATTAGTCAGAAGTACTTCACAAAAAGCCTTATCATGACAATTAAAATATAATTAAGCGTCTTTGGAGAGTGTAGATTCGTAAGCTTTGAATCCATGACTTTCAACCTTTCACGTTCCAAATGAGATGGTTTTGGAGCCTTTCAAGATGATAATCTCTATTTTCTTGTATACAGTTGGACTCTGGAAACTCCACAAATTTTTCTTTTAGTGGGAAAATAATTTAAAAGAAAAATATAATGACTTTCTTAGTTTTGTTGAAATTTTAGATACACTCTCTCCATTTTAAAACCGATATTTTAGTCCAATTTCAAAAATGGGTAAAAATATTCTATTAAAAGTTCTAAAGGATACTTAATTATATTAATTGAAATTATGTTTAAAATTATTAATTTTCCTTCGAAATCTACTTGTCTAGTGTCTACTCTTTTTACCCAAATTAAAGAATTTCGTAAAATTAAGTATGGTTATATTTAAAATACTTTCCGACAAAATATTAAAATTAATAAAAATAATTAATGTTAATAAAATTTACAGCAAAATAAGAACGAATTATATTAAAATTTATTCAATAACATATCAAATTTACTTTTTTTTTTTAATTTTTCCGTATGTAATTAAACGTTTAGAATTTATTGGACCAGTAAGTTTATTTAACTGAAAAAAATTAAAATATGATAAAAAAAAGTCTAAAAATATACGCTTTAAAATTATTTTTTCCCTGATAAATTTTTTTGGGAGCTAGAAGATTTTTAGATAATATTTATCTTAAAGAGGGACAGTTAACTATTGAATGATGGAATTTTAAACATGGAGGAGAGGCATGTGTTATATGGCTTTTGATTTCACAGGAAGTTTAAATGTATAAATTTCAAAAATAAAAGATGTAATTAAGTTAAACAAAATTTACACAAGCCATAAATGCAATTTTCTTTATCTCAACATTACCATAAAACATTTTTAAGCCAAATGAATGTGAACACTCAAACATATTAAAATTATTGTTAGTCATTCAAGCATGTGGAGCTCAATTCAGGCTTACTTGAATGAGCCTAAACTTATAAAAAAATCTTATATAATCATGTTTGGCCCTAACAATTCTAGCTTTGGAGTTTATTCAAACCAACTTAAATGCTCGAATAGTCAACAATTTTTAAGCAAATTTAAATTTTAATCTAAAAATTAATTACTATTACTACTACTATTGTAAGAAATATGCATTATACTTTTCTCGGGACAGTTAAAAAATAGAGGACTGAAATTTTTTCTAAGTCTTAAAGTTTTAAAAATATTTCTAATATCATTTTAAAATATTTGAGAGATTAAAAATGATGAAAATATAATAATATGAAATTTTAAAAATTTTAAAAAATATATATTTATAATTTACTCAAATAATAAACTACAATTTAAAATAATATTTAATATGTATTATATATTTTTAAAAAAAATAAATCAGGCTTGGTTTGATGTTGAAAAATTATCATTATTTTATCCCGTTGAATTTAGCGCAGGTTATCGCCCTAATTAAGATTATGGAGCATACCCTTTCTTCTCCATTTGATGATTGGCATTCACCGGCACAAACATCGCTTGAATTACCCAGACTAGCAATTTCACAGGAATCATGTTTCCACATGCGCTTCAGTTTTGGCAGACTATCAAGTCTCATTTTTTTCAGCTGAATAGTTTCTCTCGCCATCCTTCCTCTTCCATTCATATCGCCCAAATCAAACACAGCTTCAAGTGTATCACACTCAGTCACTTCAAGCTCTTCCAAGTTGAACAAAGCTTCTAGCATGCTTCCAGAAAGAAGAATACTCGAAAGCCACTGGCAATTTCGCACCACCAACGATTTCAAATTAGAAAATATTTCATGACCAACCTGGCCATACCACAATCCTCTTAACTCCGGATATTTCGAAAGCTCTAAATGCTTGAAGCTACAAAATGCCACCTGTTAAAAAAAAAAATTTATAGTGTCAGTTATAATAAGATCACACTTGAACGCTTTAAACAATTTATTTCAATTCACTCAGAATCTTTCAAAATTTGTCTGGATAAATCATACAGACCTTGTTCAGAAACATCTTCCTAATCGTTTCATTTAAGTCTCCTTCCCAGTAAGATTCTCCCTCCGCTAGTGTTGTCCTAAGCTTTGGTGCACTTATTGCTTTGTCTGAGAAAATTTGCATCTGAGGACATTGGCTAACAACAAATCTCTCCAACCATGGGAACTTGAAGGGGCACTTGCTTGATGAAAAACCACGGAGCCTTGGCAAATAATTTAGCTCTAAACTTAACAAACTATTAAATGCAATTTCATTTTTTGCCCCATCCACCTCTTCTGTCACAATTTCTTCCAGCGAATCACACTCTTCTATTTTCATCCTTTGCAAGTTGAAAAGACTTCCCGCCGTTGATGAGGTCATTAGGCTTTTCAAACTGTTGCACTGTATTACCACCAGATATGTCAAGTGGTAGAAAGTTGCAGAGGAAGGGACTAAATTTCTTAAACTGGAACATTCTTCCACCATTAAGACTTCAAGAACCTCAAGAACAGGGTGAATTTGACTTCCTTCTCTACATAAATTCTGAAGCTTCGGTGAACGCTGTAGCCGCAATGCTTTAAGCCGGGTGTTAATTTTGTTCCGTTCTTCCTCATGTGTTAGCAATTCATCATAAAATATCTCCTTTGTGGAGCTAAATGAAACATTTAGCCTTTCGAGACTAGGTACATTTTTGAGAAACCGAAGCAGAGCACTTGCTTGATCATCTTGAAAAGCAAATATCCAAAGATGTTTGAGTTTGCGGTACGAGGGAACTTGGTGATGCAATATGACGTTAGCATCCCAATATTGCAGGTACAAAGAATCCAAGTTGCCAGTCACCTACCTCATGATTGCACAATGCACAATTTCATCGTTAGAAGTCAGAGTCATTGTTTTGGATCATGACTTAGTAAAAAGAGAATAATTGGAGTTCACGTATAACACGATATAAATTTGCTATTTATAGTTACAAAATGTAACGACAATGTAATTTGAAGATTTTTATCAGACAAGATGCGATATAAATAAACAAAAAATATAGCAATGCTGTACACACAAAAGCGAGTGGCTAACTATTAGGCAGATATAAGCTAAATATGACTTGTGTAACGATTTTATGGGTAAGTTTAAAAGCTTATATCAACCATACCTCTTCATTAACTGTAAATAGATATTGTTGCATTGAGAAGTGAAATCGGTCATCAGCAAAACTTTGCCGGCATCTATTTGCACGCGGATTGAATACCTTTAAATGTGGACAATCCAACACTTGCAACCTTACCAAGGATTGACATTCTAATGTATGAACCCCTGCATAGAATCCCTTGAGTTTAGGCAAATATCCTAGGACCAGGGAGGTGAGATGAGTAAGCTCAAATATGGTAGTTTCATCCAATGATCCATCCTTCTTCGAAACAACTTCCTTGATCTTACACAAAACTAGTCTGAGATGTTGAAGTTGTGGAAGATCCTTAGCAATGGAGAAGGGGAAGATATATTCCAGCTTGTAACAGCCCGCAATATCCACGAGTTCTAGATTGGAAAAGCGAACAAGTCCTTGGGGATCCTTGCTCCATATCCGTTTCATCTCTGGCAGTCCACTTATTTCTAGATTTTTCAGCTGTGCTGTCACTTCTTGAGCATGCATTCCATCAGCAGTGGTGAGTTCGAATATCTCTTCAACTGAAGCACAATCTTTGACCCTCAACGTCTCAAGACTTCTTAGTGCTTCAAGCATGGAGCCCGATGGAAAAACAGTCTCCAGTTTCTCACATTTGTTCACTTCCATTGTCTTCGATCTGCCAAATTGGTAGTGCCATGCTCTCTTCAAGTTCTTCATGTCATTTATTATGATCTCCTCCAATTTGGGAAACCCAGCCTATTTGACGCACAACAAATCATGAACATTGTACAATAAACCAATACCAATCCCTCAACTAATTAAAAAAAACCATTAATATTAATGTTATATAGTTACTTGAATGTGCTTGTGTGATTGATTTTGGATATTATAATTCAAGAAATATTCCAAGTTATAAGATTGGGAGGTATTTAAGACTTTTATATTCATTAAAACTACAATGAAAATAAATGCAAATGTTGGCAACTTCAAAATAACTCAAGAACAAAATCATACTACCTGATCTTGAGCCAGTGTAATCTCATTGTTACTTACTTCTATGGCCATTATCTCCTCCATCGCGTGGCATTTACTTATTTCAAGCCGTTTGAGATTTTCTAGATTTTCAACCATAAAAGGTGAGAATAAATATTTCAGGCTGCCACAGTCCTTCACGATTAAATTAACTAGATTTCGGAAAGAAGTGGCTGTTGAATGTTGATGATCATCCCAAATTTTCTCCAAATTAATCGAGCTTAATTTCAGGGTCTCCAAATTTGACAATGAAACCTACAAAAATAAAAAAAATTGTTACTCTAAATCTTAATCCGATATATGCAAAAAACCACCACTTTTTAGACGTATTATATTTTAATGAAACAGAGTACAATTTAAGTTCTCAATTTGGGAGACCCAATAAAAGGACACAGTGTCTACTACTCTCAGTCGAAAATAGTGTCGCCATCAAATTCATTGTTCTTCAGTCCATTTTATAAATTAAGTCAACTATTGTAATATATTATAACCAAATAACATTTTTCATAAAACTAAATATCTTATTCATATATATTTTAGTAGTGAATTACTAGACACAACACACACACACATAGGATACATGCTTTGATATATATATATATATTATAACCAAATAACATAAAACTAAATATCTTATTCATATATATTTTAGTAGTGAATTACTAGACACAACACACACACACATAGGATACTCTTTGATATATATCCTATATATATATACATATATATAAACAAACAAGTATATATACTCGTCTTGATAGTAATACATACAGCTAAATTTTAAACATATAACAATTTCTATTATATGATCTATATTTTATAACTGCTGCTCAAATTTCCATATAACAAATGCATACAAAATATTAAAATGCAACAAAATGAGCATACCTTTGCATCGAAGAATGACGTTGGAATATCAGAGCAGCAAAAACTAACCATTGCAGGTAAATATTGTAAAGCCAAGTGTCGCAATTGAATAAACTCAGCTTTATTGATGATCATGCCACTATTAATACTTTCCAAAGACACTATGTTCTCCATAGAATGGCATTCAGAGACTTCAATTTCAACAAGTTGAGAAAAGTTTTTAACCATTGAATTCAAGAAGACATATTTTAGCTGCTCGCAACTTTTGAGCTTCATGACTCTTAGCTTTCTAAAAGAATCAACTCTCAGTGGCCCATCACATATCTCCTTCATCATGGAGAGATTATGAAGTATTAATGTCTCCAATTTTGGAAACAAGATTATATTTGTTTGATTCCTTCCTGTTGAGTTGATAATGCACTGAATTTCTCCATTATTTTGGATGTGCAAATGCTTTAGCTGTGGAAATCCTTTGCCATTCAATTGGAGAAGCACATTTGAAATGCCATTTACTTCCTCTAAATATAAATCTTCCACACTTTCCATCAACGTTTTAATGCCATGTTCTGATTGATAGCAAGTGTGAAGCTTTAGCTTTAACAACCTCAAGGTATTATTATCATTTCGCCAATCCCATTTATCTCCAATAACAATCTTATATCTCTCTAACTTCTCAAATACAATGTCCCTCAGTAAAATCCAAGTCTCAGCTTGAATTTCTAGAGTACTCATGCCCGTCAAATGCGTGAGCTCAGCAAGACTAGCATTTTTGTTTTGCTTTGTCGGACTTTTTGCCTCCCATTTTACCGAGGCATTGCCCATGTACAATTCCTCAAGTGTGGTCAACTTGGACACAACATTGGGTGGGATAACCTCAATTCCAGAACCACTCAAATCCAACATTCTTAGGTGAGTCAACTGCCCTATTTCACTTGGAAACTCTTCCATAGATGAACGGATGAAGCTGAGAATTTCTAAATTTTTCAAGGCTCCAATTCCAGCCATAACTTTCAAAGAGCACTGATCCAAGCACAATGTTTTAAGTTCAGTCAATGTGGCAAGAGATGTCGGTAACGATGATATCATCATTCCTGTTAAATCCAACACCTCAAGGTTTCTCATTCCCCCAAAAAAGGAGTTTGGAATTTCCAATGAAGGATTATCTTTGCTATTTAAGTGAAGAAATTTCAAACTGGGGCAATCTAACTTTTCAGGAAGTGTTTGGATGCAACAACGATACAAGTTTATCCAGGTACACCTTTTAAAAAAATCCTCTCCTGGCCAATCTTGAAATGGAACATTCATTGTGAAGACATGTTGATCCCCAGATGCAATTGATATTGCTACTTCTCTAAGAAGGTCGTGCATTTTGATCACTCGTGCAATTGCATCACTGTGAAGCAAAAAGCAGGATGCCTTCAAGTCATCAATCACTGTTTGAAGCTTGTTTCTTACACCATCAATGGTTTTTATATATTTGAATACATCCAAACCAATGACGTATTTCAACAAGTCACCAACAAGAATGGACGTTCCATACACTCCACAAAGCAAGAATACTTGCTTCGCCCCATCATCTTGTAAACAATCGTACATGTATTTCAAAGGTGGAAAAATTTTCTCACCCACTATTCCACTGTTAACTCTTTTCAGTTCATCCAAGGCATTTTTCCACTGATGAATTTCTTTATTTTTTAATAACTTTGCCATTGCGACTATCAACACAGGCAAGCCCGCACAACTTTTTACCACTTCCGTTGCAATATCTCGCAACTCGACACCCACATCATTCGTCATTTGAAATAATTCAAGAGATTCTTCATTATTTAATTCTTCGAGTCTGAAATTCTCTTGAGTTGCATTCTTTTGTAAAATATTTTCGTTTCTAGAAGTGAGCAACAATTTGCAGCCCTTATAACTATCCTGTGTAGAAATTCCCAGCTTATGATTATCTAGTGATGGAATTCCCAATTTAGCCAAATCAAGTTCTTCATAGATGTCGTCCAATATGATGAGGATAGCGTTGTCCTGTTTGATTCTCGCACGTAAGCGGCTTGCCTTTCCAATGGGGGACTTCTCTTCAAAGCGCAGGCCTAACTGATCTGCCATCTGATCAAGAATTCCCTCAATATCTACAGGTTGTGATACAGTCACCATAACCACTTCATCAAATAACTTGTCATCCTTAACTTGTGCAACAATTTCACTTGCTAGAGTGGTCTTCCCCACCCCACTTAATCCATAGACCCCTATTCTACTTACTTTAAGGTCTTTTAGAACCGATAAAATGCGCTCCTTCATTAAGTTCCTTGACCCGAGCTTTACATTATCTCTTGTTGTGATGGTGGGTAGACGAGGGAGGTGCCCAATTCGATCGAACTTCCCATGTGTCAGCACTTCAGCAACATTTTCTACCGTTTTCTTTGCATTTCGACTTAGTTGATGGCGTGAAATCAAATTAGGAAGACACCATCCAGAACACTCTGCCTTCACACAGCGAGGATCTTCACACAATCGCTTGGCTTTCTCTAAAGTGTCATTAGCTTTATTCAGCCACTCCTCCACATCAGGTTCAATCTCTCTTCCATTTCTTCTCTCTGCTTCAACCTCATGCACAATTCGCTCTTTTGCCGTCCCCAGCTTCTCGACTTGATTCTTTAGCTCCTTAAAATTGTCTTTGTAAAAAAACAAATATCCCACTTGTCGTACAATGGGTTTCAGTGTATACTTTGCTATTTCGCCGGCAATGGCACCGAGAATCTCCATTGTTGATTCCTAAATTGATGTACGATTAACACAACACAACCATCAAAAAATAAAATCATATCAGATGGAGAAATGGGTGTCATAAACATGCCTATTTGCATTCCTATGCTGCAAGTAACAAACGAGAAATTTGGTTTTTGTTTTCTTTTTTTTTTTAAATTATTTTTTAACATAGTTTTTAAAATTATTTTTTAAAACAAAACAAAATAAAAATCTATTTAATTATATCAATTAAAAAATGAATTGATAGTAATGATTATAAACAGTTAATGATGATGATTGATAATAAAAAATGGTTAAGGTGTTTATAATTTTCAATAATCAAATACAGTATATTTCAAAAACAAGAAAAATAAAATAAAAACAACTTGAAATTGTTTCTATTTTTTAAAAAAATAAAAAATAAAAACAATTTTGAAAACAATTAAATGAAGAATATTTATCTAAACAAGTTTGCAAATTTTTTTATTTTTAAAAATAAAAAATAGTCATTTAAAATAGAAAACAAATAGGTCCTTACTTTTTTTTTTGGTTGATTTTTTGTATAGCTTCTTCAATATTATTTCCACTGAGAATTCAGAAACAAAATATGAAATTAAAGACGCTTGAAAGCCTGTTTAGTTTCTATTCTCACTTTTTATTTTTACATTATTTTGTAATATAGTTTTCAGAACAATTTTTCAAAATAAAATAAAATGAAAATATGCTTACGTTAATTAAAAAATAGTTATAGAATTACAAAATAGACTGATAATCATGTTTGCAGGCATTTAGTGGTGGTTGTTTAGGATAGAAATTGGCCAAGCATAATGTATTTTGAAAACAAAAAAAAAACGAAATGAAACCAATTTTAAAATATTTTTCTTTTTTTTTTGAAAACAATTAAATCCAAAACAATTATCCAAACAAGTTTTTACTTAAAAAGTAAAAACTAAACAGGCCCTTAATATCTTATAAATATAAAAGGTATAATTATTTTTCACAATTTTTTTTAAATAAATCAAAACTATAACTTTATGCTATTCTTTAAAAAATCATAAAAATGCAAAAAAAAAAAACAATGCATCATTTTTAACCCCATTCCAAAATAATTTACAATTTTTTAAATAACATTAATAAAAAATATAAATTTCCATCATTTAGTTTTTAATATAAATATACAATAAAAAAAGGGATATTTATACTTTTTCTACAGAAGTTGTTAATAATGTTAGAATATTTTTGAAATTTTATTTTCATCTACACAACCTTAGTTGACTATTAAATTATATATATTAGACTAAAAATTATTTTCACTTTTTAAAATTCGGAGAGGATAGACAATTAAATTATAAAAACAAATTAATAATTCTAAAACTTTTAAAAGAATATTTTTAACGGTATTAAGAATTGTACTTGAATATTTCTTAGATCCATGTAGCTGTAGAGAAGGTGGTTATATTTTACTCATACTTTAAAGTTATATTTTACTCAAAAATATAAACAAACGTATCAAATTTTAAAATTAAAATGAATGGTCGAGATTTGGTGTTTAATATGGATACCAAAACTTAAATAAAAAATTGAAAGGACCTTACCAGACAGAGCCTGTGAAAGACGAGAGAGGTGTTTGCCGCAGTTGCCCTTCCCTTGACAAGTAATATTCTGTTGTCCAGAATCATAACCACAAAAATAGAGGAAAAACACAATTCACATTATTAATGAACATTAATAATTATAGAATAGAAAGATTCTAAACATCAAGAGACCAACTTTAGCGGAATCACTCTCTGCTTCACGCCAAATTAAACTTGTCTCTCACTCTGAAGAACTACAAACTGAGGCAGCAGTACCAAAGACTTCCAAGGAACAAAGGATTGAGGATGAGAAGTTTTTTCCCTTTTTCTTTTAGATTTTTCAAAGGAAACAAATACAAGAAGAGGTATCCAGAAAATAGACCCTCAAACAAAGACACCTTTTGTTTTCTTTTTTTGTTTTTTTTTTTCTCGCACAAGCTGATACAAGAAAATGAAAGAAACTTTTGCCCAAAATGAAAGAAAGAAAACAAGTTGAACAGAAAACCTAGAAGAAGGAACGAAGAGAGACACTACCAGGACTTCTAAGGGACAGGTAGATGAGAAACTTCTTTTTTTTTTTTTGGAAGATTTTTTAAAGCAACAAACAGAAGTAACAGAGAGCAGAGTTGCAAGAAATCTCTAAACAACAACGACGTCAACTTTTTTATTTTTTTTGGCTTTTAATAAATTTAGTTTGTATATGAACTACGGAACGAGATAATACAAACCCCTCCAATGATGAGAAAAAGAATTTTAGTTTTTTTGGCAAAAGATTTTCAAAACCAACAACGAAAAGAAGAGATAACAAGGAAATAGATCTTTAAACAAAGGCACTTTTTTTTTTTTGGGAGGCAGTTGTAACAGGGAAATGAAAGAAACCAAGTTGAACTGAAAACTTAGAAGAGGAATGAAGAGAGGTAGAGGAAACAAATTTCCTTGGAATGGTTTGTAGGTGAGAGTAGAAGGAAATAGCAGAATAAGTAAGAAGAGCAGATTGCAGGAAAAGCAGACGAAGATCGTAGGCAATGAAAATAAGATGCAATTGCAATCCCAAATGACTTGCTTTTTCAAGTCAATACATAAACTCTCACTCACGACAAAATCCAGGCTGGAAAAAATCAACTTCATCAATCATATCATCATCAATATTTGATAGAAAGACTTAGATATTGGTCCTCAATATTTGATAGGAAGACTGAGATATTGGTCCTAAAAGTTGAATTTATTTAAATTAGATTTCAAATATTAAAATTTAAAAATTTATAAGTTTATTTTGTAATTTTGTAATTTCATTTTAATAAATTTATAACATATTTTTTAAATTTTAATATGATTAAAAAATAAATAAATTTATTTATTTATTAAAATTTAACATATAAATTATAAATTCATTGTAATAAAATTATAAAATAAATTTTTAAAATTTTAAAATTTAACACTTGAATAAATTGATCCTCTTAAAATGTCAACGTTCTGCCTATTCAATATATCCCAGATAGTGATTCTACCAGCTAATGAGGTGGGGGCAGCTCCTCTCGCATAAACCGTGTGGGCTCCGAAAATGGCTAGGGTTGGCCACACATGTCAGTCTTGAAAAATTAGTGGATACTGGAAAATGAAAACAAGTTGAATAGAACATTGGGAAGAAGGAATGGAGAGACATACTAGCGGGAAGAAACCCCACGATTTTTTTTTTTTTTAAATGCTTTAGTCTGCAACTAAGACTCTAGACGGAAACAGAACAAGAAATTGAAAGAACAGAGAGAGTGGCTGAGGAAGAGGAAGCAGAGAAAATGAGATGCAATCAGAAGGTATGAGTGATGCAGCGAGGAATAATGCTTGACAATGCGACTGATACTCTCACTTTTAATTGGATTTCTTTTTTTTTGCCCAAAGACTTTTATTAGATGTTTGATAGAATTCAATAGAATTAGTTAATAAAATAAAATTCTTTCTTTTTAAATTAAACACATTTTATAAGGAAAAATTATTCCTTTATTATTTACTCTAATAAATATTACAATATCATTTCCTTTCCAAGTCTCTGTCTCAGTTTATAAAATAATTTTAAAAATAATTGTATAAAATAAAATATAAGACAATGTAATAAAAAAAATTTATTAAATATATTTTTTGATATTATCCTTTCCTCTTTATTATATCCTCTGTTATATTAAATTAAAAATATTTTTAAAAATTTATATTTTTTTAAAAAATAAAATTATAAACTATATTTAGTAAATTGTTTAATAGACATAATTTTATTTAAAATTATCTTATAAAGTATGATAGAGAAAATATTTGCATATACACCATAAAAGATTTATGTTAAAAAAAAATTACATGTTGCATGCTCATATAGTCGGTAATTTAGGCCAAGCACAATATGCCAGTCCAAACCTGCCTAAAAATTTAGGGCTAAGCCCAAAAAAAATAATTTTTAATGTTTGGGCCTATTTGGGCCAAACCGAATAGGCCCTAGAAAATTTAGGCTGAGCTGTATTGGGTTCAAACTTGACTCGAATACCTGAATAAAAAATAATTTTTTTTAAAATATAATAAATGTTAATTAATTATTTAAGTTTTATGTTATTTTATAGTAGAATACCATATATTTTAGTGCATTACTATAATTATTTTTTAAAAAAATAAAAACATTTATATTTTCATATTTTTATTATTTTTAAGCAATAAATATCTCAAAATAATATTTAAAATATATTTTAATATTTATTTTTATATTATAAGACCCATTTTCTAAATAAAAAAAGTTGAGTCCTATACTATACATCATTTGTGCATTCAAAAAAAATATATTTTTTTGTATAATAAAATAATTAATTCTAAAGTAAATATAATTTTAAAAATAAAATTCAAGTATGTATGAATTCCTGGTTCTACTATAAGATAAACATAATAAATAAAAAAATATTCTTGAATAAATATTTGGTTAGTGTCCACACTAGACTTAGTTAAAAATTAAGAATAAATTAAAGTAAATACTCCTTGTATGTAGGGGTTACTCATAAGTAAATGATTTTATTTTATCTAATATAATGATGGCTATTTTTTTCATATGCTTAAAAAATAAAAAATATAGTTTACTCAAAATTCATTAAAAACTTTGAACTAATCAAGAAAATAATTTAAAATTAGTGATTTAACAGTGATTGAATTAAGATCAACTTGATCATAATTAAAATAATATAATTTAATTAAAATATATAAAATATTTATATGTGACCATGATAAGAGTAATATTTAAATAACTAATATATTAATTTACAAGCAAAGAAAATATTTATGAATAAATTACACATAATGCAATAGAACAATAACATAGCTACTTAATTATAATGTTGATAAGTTATTATTTTTTATTTTATTATTTTAAAGTTAATATAATATTTTATACTTAACAGAATTATTTAAAAATTAAAATTGGTTCAAAAAATGAAAGAAAAATATTTTTCAAAAGTTCTAGGTATTCGAGCCAATCCAAATAAGCCCGAAGCTCCAAAGTATTAAGGCTGAACTTGGCTATATGAATTTTTTAAAAAAGGTATGATACTTTAAGTCCAACCTGAATAAATCTAGTTTAAATTCAGCTCAATTCAAATAAGCTCAGCTTGTTCGAATTACCAACTCTACTCATCAATTATTCGCAATACTACTTTCTAATATAGTCTCAACCCATAATTATTTGATATACCATTCAAACTGAGGATCTAAATCCTTTAGCATGCCTGGTAATCCCAAAACCAGGTAGATAAATACAAGACATGTTATGTGAGAAATTTACAAAGGAAATGATGATGGCAGCGATGGTGAAGGGACTTAGGCTTCGACAAAAAGAGCATGGTGCAGTTAAAAAAGTAGAGAGACTGGCTTCATACAGTCAAAAAGCAAACTCTCACTCTTCTATTATTTTGAACATGCTCCCAAAGTCTGGCCCCACCATTATTACAAGGGAGAATCGCAATACAGGCCTTAAAACAGCATAAAATGTCACTTTCGACCCAATATATCCTGATATTACACTATAGGCTCAACGGCTTTTCTTGCAATTTTTCTTAACAAAAAAAATACATTTTTGCCCTTACGTGATTTGAAAACTCAAATCATATACAACACAATGTCCATAAATATATAACATGATGTCATAAGTGTCAGTTAATTTGTAAGTTAAAATATACATCACATAGAGCATATACAATACAATATCCATTGATGCACAATATAATATTTATAAATTCTCAACACAATGTCCATGCAAGTCCAGTTAATTTATAAGTTAATTAAAATAAAGTCACGTTAAGTATTACAACACAATGTCCATGGATGCACAATACGATGTTCATAAATTCTCAACACAATATCCATGTATGTTCACACATGGACATTTAGTTGAGAATGCACGAACATCGTGTTGTGCATCCATAAACATTTTGTTGTATATTATCTGCATCACTTGGCTATTTTATTAAACTTACTAATCAATTAGACAACCATTAACATTGTGTTGTATATCGATAAATATTGTGTCGTGTATGATCTGAGTTTTTAAATCATATAAGGGCAAAATTAAACTTTTGCTCTTAAAAAAATTGTAACAAGAGCCTTTAGGTCTGTAATGTAATAACAGAATCTATTAGACTTACAGTATAATTTTTTCTTTTTTGAGACCTACAGTGCGATTTCCCCTTATTACAAAGATGAACATGGTACTATAGTCTATATTGGATATGAAGGTCAGACCTACCATTTCCGTCGAGCTTTTTATGGCAGGAATGGAATATAAAGTTTTTTGTCATAAATTTCCACAGGAAGAAGTGCTTTCATGCCTCCTTTTAGGTTCCATCAAAAAATATTTTTAGAGGGTTTCACTTATAGCCAATGTTTTTAGAATTGAATCGGATATTAAATTGAAAAGATTAGCAATTAATAATTTATATGGTTCAACCGAATTGAATTAATGGTTAAATCGATGACATAATAATTAAATTAAAAAAAATTATATATGTATATAATAGTCTAAATATAAGAAATAAATACAAAATTACTACTTAACTTAAAAATAAAACTAAATATTTTAAATTTATTATGACTTAACAAGCAACATGATATAATATAACACCAAATGATTAAAAAATTGGTCATTTTTTTAAAACAATTTGATAAAAAATACATAAAAAGATTTTTTAAAACAGTTCGATTTTTGAAAACCGAATCCGATTCTTGATCCAACAGCCAATCCAAAACGGCCCAACCTGACTCAACCTCAAAAATAGTTTTTATATCCTGATTGAGTTGAAATTTAGATCACTCGACGGTTGGACTGATCTCATCGTATGGTTTTTTAATCATTGTTTATGACTTTACAAAGAGATTGAAAATTTCTTTCGAGTCAATATTTTTTTTAAAAAATAAATACCAATTAATTTCAAAATCTACATTGCACTAACTAATCTATTTTTTCTTCTTATTTTACATATGCTTTTGATGCATTACTTTCTTTTTTTTTTTATCGATACAACCTTTAATGTCAAGAAAGTAAAAAAAATATTATAAGTGTTGAAGTTCCCCTTAACTCAAGTAGCATATGGACTTCACCTTTTCTTATTCCTTTTTTTATCAATTTAATGAGTAGTTTTAGATTTAAAACTGTTATCTTAGATTATAATTCTTGTGATATATAGTCCGCCAAAGCTTTTCTTGGGACTTTACCTGTGTTTGCAAAAGTTTTCCTTCTACGTGGAATGACAATTGGGCATATCAACTTTTGCCTAATGTTACCCTAGTTATGTTGCCTATGCTAAACAAAACCAAAGCTAAAGAACCAATGCAATGTGAGGTTTGCAAATATGGTTTTGAGAAGCATATATCAACGAAAAAGCACGAGAAGAATTTGTAGTTGTTGAATAAACCCACTAATACAATAATACCAGGAACCTCTCATGCAAGTTTACAAAATCAAATGAGCAGTTTTCAAGAACAAGATTTATTTGG